GGATCGAATCAAGAACACTCACAGAAATCCGATGAAGAAGGAGAAGAAAAAACGAGAGAGTAAAAGTAGAGAGAAAGTGAAACACGTGAAATAACGTGGTAACACCCCGTGAGTAAACTTCCACGGCGGCTAGATGTGTTTATTGATGATTTCAGGCAGATACAATTACAGAGAATTTGTCTCTTGCCTCTCTCTAAAAAATTAGCTACAAAGGAGAATATATATAGGCATTACAACCTCTACTTACTTAACCATTAAGAAAACTTAGTCATTAAGCAAACTTAGCCATTAAGTAAACTTAACCATTAAGAAAGCTTAGCCATTAAGTAAACTTAGCCATTAAGTAAACTTAACCATTAAGCAAACTTAATCATTAAGCATCAGGCTCCATAACCTAACACTTTCTACCAACTCTGAAAAATACTCATATGCCCAAACCTGGAAAAAAAATGCAATCCTCAAAGAATGTCTATTCCAAAGAAGTTTTAAAATGAATATTTTAGTTCATCTACTAACCTGAATGGGCAATGGAAAATCATAAAATGTGTACTTTAAGTGTTTATAGCTTGTGTTTTCCAAACTTTCTTTTCAAACTTCTCCGATTGACCATCCATTGCTCCCTTCATGTGTCGTATTGTGAGCAAGTATGACTCCCAAGACCATGGATAATATTTGAATTTTTTTGGCTCCTCAATCAAATGCAAGTGGTTTGATTCAATGCAAGTTGATTTATATATCTTTAGCCAAAAGCACAGACTCAATAAAGTAGAACATGCTGAAATCTATCATTTTCTATGAATCGATGATATTCTTTGCTGCAACGTATTGAGCACGTAGATGTTTGAACGTGCACTTCATCTCCTCACCACCTAGAAATGTGTGACATGCACTCCTCTCTCCAAGATCCATGTCTTCAAATGTTGGGTACTTTTTTATATTATGCAAGTCAGCTATACGACACCAATCATCGAAAGTGAATTTTAAAATTTTGCCATTTTGCAAGATCTAGAAATCATCATCTAGTTGATTGTCTATACGGAGGAGAAGCATGTGGTGCACGACCTGCCAGAAAACTGAGGCTTCTGAACCCTCATGAAATGTCCACCCGGAGTATTTTCAAATTCTGCTAATTGGCTATGATTGAATTTCTTCTGAGAATTGTCGATGGCTTCTCGTATGTCGGGACAACATTTTACTCCAAAATGGCCTGTAATAGGGATTAAGAAAGACATCCTCCCTAGAAGATCATAGGTTCTTCCTAAACGTACAAAGAATGATCATTAGTACTTTCACACCAATTATACAGCATAATCTACTATGGTCTTCCATATGCGGTTATATACTTAAATTCACACACAATAATCAACCATGAAGTTTAATTCACAAACAGTAATCTTCTGTTCTCTAATATTCACAAAAAATAAGCATTTACAAATTCATGGACATATATGTAAACAAGGGAAGATATAATCTACTATGAATTACCATATGCAAATAACAAGCTTTTGTGCTAACATTCTTAGACAATAATGTAATAAAATTCATAAATAATAATCTACTAAGAAGTTGAATTGACAGATGATAATCGTCTATGCTCTAATATCCATAGAAAGTAAGCATATACAGATTCATGATAATCAAAGTGGAGAGTCGCCTTCTGTGAATTTTGTAGTTGAGGCCGAGATGACGAGGGTGACTCCTGAACTTGGAGACAAGATGGCCAACCCCGAGAGATGAGAGGGGTTCAAATTCTTTCATCAGAGACTAGATCGGGGAGCTAGGGAGGGGTCCGAACCTGTAGATAGAAGTGAGACAGGTGAGGGACGGGTATTTTGCCGGATCCTAGAGTAGCAAGGGAGCCGAACGGGCGATGGAGGGGACCACGGCACAACCTTGTCGCGGAAGAGTGGGATTTAGGGTTTTTTCGGGAAAAATTGGTGAATTGAGGAGAGTAAGAGAAGCGAAGAGAGAAAGTGAGAAGTGAAAAAAGAAAAAGAGAAAATGGGAAAAAAAATTATACTTTTGTCTAAAAATTTCTTTCTCACTTTTTCTTTTGAGCTGTCTAAAATTATTTTTCTCATTTTCTATTTTGACAAATTTTTTTTAATGAATATACCACTATATCCCTACTTTTTTTTTATACTCCCTCCGTCCCTCATAGATCTTCCCAATAGCCCCTTTTCTTTGTCCACAATAGATCTTCTCATTTCATATTTTAACAATTAAAATACCACAACTACCCCCACTTACTTTATTTATTACACCTCACCCACCTCATTTAATACACTCCACCCATTTTTCATTAAGGGTATTATGGTAAACTTTCACTTTTTTCAACTTTCCTTAAAAATCACCAAAAGTCAAAATGAGAACATCTTAGGGGGACGGAGGGAGTATTATGTACTTCATTCCAAAATAGTAGTGGTACTATTTTAGCATTATGGGATAAATATTTCGTCTTCGTTAGATAGGGTGTAGTGAAGGGACAGGAACGTGACCCCACTCCCTGAGACGTCCATTCGCATTCAACTTTCCCTCTATTTCTCTCGCCTTTTCACCCATCTCTCTTTATCCTGCCTGTCCCAATTCGAACCAAAATGGGCAGTAGCGGCGGACAAGCCAAGAGATGGAGCTGGTCCTCCGCATTCATAGGGGCGGCAGCCGCTACTGCCACGGCGGCGCTACTCGCCTCTAAGCCGCGAGACCCCGCATTCCACCTCGTCTCCATAGATCTGACCTCCCTCAAGCTCAATTTCCCGGTCGTGGACGCCGACGTCATCCTCACCGTCCACGTCTCCAACCCTAACATCGCCCCGATCCAGTACTCCCCGACGGAATTGTCCATCTTCTACTCCGGATCGCACCTCGGATCCGCCCGCGTCGACGCCGGCTCCCAGCCGCCGCGCTCCTGCCAGCTGCTCCGCCTCCCGGCGCGCCTCAAGGGGAAGGCGCTCGCCAAGCACTCCAAGAAGTTCGTCGCCGACGTCGCGCGCCGCGAGATGGATCTGGACGCGGCGGTGGATATCGTCGGCGCCGCCAAGGTGCTGTGGAGGGACCAGCGGTTTCGGGTCCACGTTGACAGTCGCGTGAAAGTGGATCCGGTGCTTCTCGATATCGTTGATCAGGAAAACAAGTCGAAATTGGAGATTTGTATTGCTTGAAACTGTTAACTCCGGCGAGATTCTTGCTCCGGCGGCCGGTTTTCTTAACATGTACTCCACTCCGTAATTTTTGGACATTGGATCTCTTGGGCTGCCAGAAGTCAAATTCGGTGTTATGGTTGACCACTTGTTGTACCCCCCGCAACTTTTAAATTTTTATTCTCTTCATGTAGAGGTTTTGTTTTTGGATAAATAAAAGTGAAACTTGAAATAAATTAGAGAAATTTTAATTATCAATTTTATAAAATTTGTAGCGTATATCAATATAGTGAAATAAATTTTCGATAATTTTTTAAAAGATAAACTAATGAAACTATGTTTGTACTAATATTTGTTACGGAGTATAATTTTACTTAATTTATCATTAAAGAAACCAAATTAAACAAATACTCTCAAATAAAATTACTATAAATTATCTTGCCAATATTTTTGGGTTTAATTTAAAAAAGTGTAAATTTCATAATTGGTTGGTTATAACAAGGGGTTTCCATATCTAATCTTTTATTATCAAATATTACCTCTGTAGTCCTTCTTTAAAGGATTTCTTTCCAGAAATGATCTTTTTTTTATCTTCTACCTTGTTGGTGTTAATTTAAAGGACAAAAGTATAATTTGACATCAACCTTATTTCAATGACGTATTCTGATATTGATTAGACGGATAATATAAAAATAATGACTATAATTGCGAGCTAGAATTCCAACGAAAGACTGCATCTGTAAGCTATAATTATAGTAGAAAACGAATATAATTCACAAACGACGCATCAGAAGCTACATTTGAAATTGTGTATGACAAGAGAGACATATTGTCATTGTAAAATTATACCTTTAGCCCTCAAATTAACACTACATGATAGAATATCTATTAGAATATGTTTTAGGGTTTGCTAGTTTTCCTATTCTTGTTAAAGTAGGAATAGAATTATGGTAGAAATAGAACTTACTTATTTGTGTTACTCTCTTCTTATATAAAGAGGGTTCAATCTTTGTAATCTCCAAGACAAATCAATATAGAATTATTCTCCATTATTATTTTCTACATGGTATCAGAGCCACCGTTCTTGGTGGCCTAAAAATTCTGTCTTCACTACTGGCGGGCGGCGCCACCGCCATTAGCCGTCTGCCGGGATGTTGTTCTTCTTTGTTCATTATGCTTTGCGCCTAGATCTATAGATCAGTCGTTCTTGCCCTATCCCAGTCCTAGGTCGTCACCGTAAACCAGGACATCGTCGAAGTTATTGGTGCCTAGCTCGTCGCCTAATTCTAGGTGTGTCGTGCCAATCGTTATTATCGTCGCTAGAACTACATATCGTGTGTTAGAGTGCATCCACATCGGAAATTCAAGAGGAAAATAATCGGTATATAAGCTCTTGAGTTGAACTAACTAATCGATTGGATTCAATCTTTTAATGTGGTTCATCTCAAGTGTCTTATTTCCCAATCTAGTTGTCCACACCCATCCTAAATTCTATCATGGTATCGGAGCAGGTTTTGGCCCACCTCGTTTGTCAAGGTCTCCGTCTAGACGTTCATTCCTAACGGCCCGTTAGTCTTTAGCACAGTTGTCCGTATGGAGTATGTACCCAACGGCCTGTGGCCCGTTTAACACGATTGCTCGTCTAGAAGTCCATACCCAGCGGCTCGTGGTCCTTTAGGTGTTGGCGCTCAAAAAAAAAAGTCAAGGGAATGGGAGTTCATTTGCAAGTGGTCAATCGGTTAGATTCAAAATGGTCCGGTTGTCCATTTGAGGGGGAGTGTTAGAGTGCATCCCACATCGGAAATTCAAGAGGAAAATAATCGGTATATAAGCTCTTGAGTTGAACTAACTAATCGATTGGATTCAATCTTTTAATGTGGTTCATCTCAAGTGTCTTATTTCCCAATCTAGTTGTCCACACCCATCCTAAATAGGTTTTCCGCCCACAAATAGGTTTGCCGTCCGCCACACAACCTTTGCCATCATGAACAGTCAACCGCCTGGAGTCCCATCCGTCCAGCAACTTCTCCACCTGGTTCGTCCGTCCTCACCTTATTGCTTGATCGTCATCAAACACCCATCATCAATAGCTAGTCGACATACGTTGGCGTCTCCCGTTATTGGTGCAACAGTGGTGGGGTGGCATCCTTCATCTATTCTCTTCGCCTAAATTCGTCCTCTGTCAAAAGTTAGATCCGTCAATTTTGTTTCGTTGTATGCAATCTGGGCATCGTTATCGTCTAGTCCGATCAACGTCCAAAAAAATCTGGGCATCGTTATCGTCTAGTCCGATCTACGTCCAAAAATATCTGGGCATCGTTCTCGTCTAATATTTGGTTGTTTGACTTGTTTGCTATGTAACAGTCGCAACTAGCCGTACGTACGGCATGTCAGTTTGTGGGGGTCGGTCGTCGATCCTCAGTCCGACAACATTCTGTCCGTTCGTTTGTCATCCTGCGTGGGAGTCATTCGTCATCAAATTTCGCTTGTTCGTTTGCTCGTCAAGTCGCATTCATCCGTCGTTGGCATAACAAATCAAAGTTTTGTCCAAGTTGTTTTATTTTGTATTTCTAGTTTTATTGTTCAAGTTGTTCATTCGTGATCCTCATTCTCAACTTGAGGGGGGAGTGTTAGAATATGTTTTAGGGTTTGCTAGTTTTCCTATTCTTGTTAAAGTAGGAATAGAATTCTGGTAGAAACAAAATTTACTTATTTGTGTTACTCTCTTCTTATATAAAGAGGGTTCAATCTTTGTAATCTCCAAGACAAATCAATATAGAATTATTCTCCATTATTATTTTCTACAATATCAAAAAATAACTATTTATGAAAAGATATTCATAAAAGAAGATCTGCCAGAGTAATATTTAATAATGAAGGACTAAAAAGAAAAGCCCCTTTAATAAAGGACCAATATCGAATTGAACAATAGATAAACAAAATCATAATTTCACTCCGAAAACACATTGCATGTGTAGTCATTAGTGTTAAAAGTGTATTCTACGAGCAATACTGACAGTTATTTTGGGTAATATATTGTGACGTCGGTCCAATGGAGGATTTTATAATGTTTTATTCGAAAAATTAAGGGTTCTAACTCCTCAATTTTTTACTTTGGCTCGACTCAAACTCACCCTCACTACGTAAATTGAACCTCTAATTTTTTGACCCCAAAATCAACTAGTTTTTAGAGGTTTAATTGACGGCGGAAGCGAGGTGGGATTGAGCTGGGCTGGGGGGAGCGGGGGAAGGGAGAGGGGGTTCGTTGGAAGGTTAGAGAGGTAAGAACCATCAAATTTTTTAACAAAAAATCCTAGAGTTCTGAAATGAACGAGTGAGCTAGCATCATATCCAAAATGGGTGTAATTAATCTAAATATAACCCCACTAGTATTCTATACATCATAATTAGACCTTATTCTTTTATGTTTGAATTTTAGAATTGAATATTGGAAAAAATTAGAAAGAGTTGAAAGGAGTTGGCAGGAGCACAAAGACGTTGGATAAAACATGAAAGAGTTGAAAAAACGGGAAGGAGTTGGAAAATGTTGAAAAAATTAAAATTGTTGAAATTTCATGTTTCTATTCAAAATAATTTTTTGAATACTATTTGTAGCACCCCAAAGACTGGCTTGGTAGTTAACCGCTAATTTAAGTAAATAAGTATATTATTTTACTCTATTTTTCTATCCCAAAAATTAAAGTATTTTCTAAAGTGGAAATTATATATTCAATATTTTTGTCGTTGGATAGATCTCGTGAAAAGATGACCAACGACATATTACTTGTTAAGTTTGGACTTATGTATAAAAAATTATGAACAAAATAGATATTATAGTAGAATAAATAAATGAATATATTTTGTAATATAATAAAATTAAACAAATAAAATATAGGTAAATACTTTGTATAAACCCAATTCTACCCAGAAAAGGAAACCCAAACCCCTCAAAAGTGTATACTCTGTAAATATATACTTCATATGTAATAATAATAATAATAATAATAATAATAATAATAATAATAATAATAATAATAATAATAATAATAATAATATACTTCATATGTAATAATAATAATAATAATAATAGGTCCCATTTTGGTAAGGAAAATGAGGGAAACCCGTTTTCTTTTCTTTTCCTACAAAATTTCTTGAACCAAACACAGTGTTAATCTATATAAATAGGTTCTCTCCCCATTGAGCAAGTATCAATTGTCTGTATAGTATAGTAAGTATAGTATATTATTATTGCTTTTTTACGAACACATATGTGGCCTTTCGTTAAAAAAAGTAGATCAGAGTTGCTCGACATGGATGCTTAAATTAAGGGCTATAAGGTTTATTGTATCCTTGCTCAGAGTTGCCCGATATATATTGATTTTCTTTCTTTTTGTATTTAGTTTACATATAGAGTTCCTAGCATGTGGGATCCTCTATGTATACAGCCTTTGCTCATATTGTGAATATCATAAATACGAGAGAAATTATCATGAAGACTTTTCTTTCATGGTATCGAAACATAAACCTAAATCGTGCTAAGCTTGGTCAATCAGTATTAAGCCGTCCACCTCTCTCAATATTTTTTTTCTCTACTGTTGTTTACGGTCGACCGGGCACCGCATCCATCGACCGTCGCTACTATTTTCCTTTTCCGCTACTGCTGCTTAATGGTCGACCTGACATCTCGTCCATTGATCGTCGTTATTGTTCTGCAATCCAGATGCCACTACTACTATTGATTCGTTGCTGCCTTTCCGATCATGTCAGAATAAAAAAGCAAGAAGACTGCAGGAAACCTGAGGAAGGTGAGGAGGAGGATGTTGTGATGTGACGCCGTCGTATCTTTCCGTATGATTTATCTCTTAGCAACAATCCTAGTATGCTTTTGACCCAAGTTGTCTTGAAGGGAGATAACTATGATGAGTGGTCTAAATCTCTACGCCTTGTTCTTCGAGCACGCAAGAAATTTGGGTTTGTTGATGGATCGATTGGAATCCCAGATCCTGATTTTGACGATTTAGATGATTGGTGGACAAATCATCAAAATTTGTTCTCTAATATTCGAAACACCATTGATCCAACCTTCAGATCAAGCTTATCATTCGTTGAGAAGACCTCTGATTTGTGGAATGATCTGAAGGCCCGTTTCTCTGTTGTTAATGGACCTAGGGTTCAACAGTTGAAACGGGAGTTGGTGGAGTGCAATCAGAAGAATCTTTCCATAATGGAATATTATGGGAAGATGAAGAAGTTTGTGGGATGATTTGGCAAATTTTGAGCGTCCTCCTGTGTGTGCGTGCAAGAATTGCATATGTGATTTTCCAGTTATACTTGCACAGATTCGTGAGACAGAGCGTGCTCACCAATTCTTGATGGGGTTGAATGATGTGTGGTATGGGACCCTGCGGTCAAATTTATTGGCACAGAAACTTGTACCGTCAATTGGAAGAATTTATAATATTCTCATGCTGGATGAGATGGGCTGAAATTCCATGAAAAAAGGTGATGGATGTGATGTTGATGTTGTTGCTTTTGTAGTGAAGAACAAAACCAAGGCAAGAGAGCTAGCGTGCTCTCATTGTGGCAAGACAGGGCATGAGAATGATGTTTGCTACAAGCTGCATAGGTATCCTGAGGGATGGGATTTCCGTGATCTGAGTGGATGTGGAAGAGGAACGAACCACGGCAGGGGCTGCGGTCCAGGCCGTGGCAATGGACGGTCAACCGAAGTTGTTAGACGGTCAACCGCCGGTGCATGCCGCGGCGGTGCACATGGTCTCTTATTCCTCTTCCTCATCATAAGAAGCCCACGGGCTGCAAATGGGTGTATAAAATCAAACGCAAGTGTGATGGAAGCATGGAACGATACAAGGCCAGGTTGGTCATATATACTTGGCAATCATTAGGTAGAAGGTCTAGATTACAACGAGACATTTACCCTGGTGGTTAAATTAACAACTGTATGGAAAATATTGGCTATTGCAGCAGCTAAAGGATGGGAGCTGCATTATATGGACGTTCACAATCCATTCTTACATTGAGATCTTCAAGATAAGGTTTATATGCACTTGCCACCAGGTTTTTCGAACTCCTTCGATATGGTGTGCAAACTCCAGAAATCTCTGTACAAATTGAAACAAGCACCACGATGTTGATTTGCTAAACTGTCTGGAGCTTTGAGACACTATGGTTTTGTTCAGTCCATTGCTGATTACTCCTTATTCTCTTTTGTTGGGAAAAGGGAGTGATTCATGTTTTGATTTATGTTGCTGTTTCGTACGTATCATGTTCCTACTACGCAGCAGCTTGCAAATATTCATACAAAGGCGCTAGGAAAATCTCGTCTAGAGTTTCTTTTTCCCAAGTTGGACATTTCACTTTGGCATGCCCCAACTTGAGGAAGGTGTTTAAAAAAAGAATATATTTCCATATATTTCTGTATATATTATTATGGTTGTTTCTCGATGCAAATTAATTTTCTTTCCTTCTCTATTTAGTTTGCATATAGAGTTTCTAGCTTGTGGGATCATGTGCGTGTGTGTGTAATCTTTGTTCATATTGTGAATATCAGAAATACAAGAGAAATTCTCCCGAATACTATTCTATCAAAACTCAAACTACAAACTTAAGAGGGGCTAAATCGCGTTAAGCTATGACATCAAAAGCTATCAGTCATGACAACACAAGCTACACTCACTTTTTTTTCTTTTTCCCACTTCGAAGTTTCTAAACATCATTCCCATGAATACCGTTAAAAGTTCGGGCTAGTCTTAAGAGGGGGTGGAAATCATAATGTGGTGGTTGTCGATACTCAACTAGGGACAACCCGGGTGGAGGTCTGAGACTTGAGAGAATTACGGGTGTAGCTAACCACAGATACAGACTTGATTGGACGGTGGTGACCTAGTCAGACTAGGTACCATGCACCGAACCGATAAGACAATAGACATCTCCCTGACATTACGATATTCACAAGGGGACAAGCGCAGAAGGAATATTTTAGAGGATAAAGGACAAATGTTACAAGACAAGGTGACATCAACGCAGAAACATACCATTGGCTCAACACGTGGCCAGGCAGGGGCGTAAATGGCCTTGTCTCTCAGTTTCTTGTTATAAATACTATTATAAACCATCATTAGGGAAGATCCGAATTCATAATCTTTTTTGTGTGCTCTAGACTTTTGTCGTTCGGTCAACTAATTTACACCATCAACAAATATAATAGAGAGAGTGTTCAAAAAAAAGCAAGGTCCATTTTATACAACAGTTCTAAAATTGTTAGTTCATATTATCTAGTCCGATTATAACCTACAACTCCACAAAAAAGTCAGATTATTGTGCATAAAGATTCCATTATTCATTAATTATATTCAAATCATTTTAAATAAAACACTAATCTCATAACCTAGCACCTTAGTTCGACAAATCTGGCTCCACCCATACTTGCATATCTATTTCTGTTTAAAAGATGTTAACACTATGTTTAGTTCAAGGAATTTCAAAGAAAAATGAGTTAATTTTAGAACCAAAACTAGTGAAAAGTAGTTAAATTCATTTAAATAAAAAATTCGCAATATCAATTTTTATAATTATAATAGCAAGAAGACAATAATGATTTAAGTTTTGCACTCATAAACAGGGTATATTTTGGTTAAGCCCTTGATGCATTTACCCCCAAAAACCATATGGCCGGAAAAAAAAAACTTTCAAATTCTGATTAACTAATAAAATTCTGATTAACTAATAAAGATAATGAAGCAGAAATGGTATAAACAGAACTGAAAATTCTAAAACACAAAATCTCATATATTTTGCCCTGCCCTGCCCTGCTTCAAGAAGAAGGACGATGTTTCTTGCATATATGTCCAGAATACCATTTATCCCCACAATGGTAGCAGAAGCTTCTTCCACACCTACAAAAACCACATTACCACAAGAGCTTATTAATTACCCTCTCCCTCCCTCATAACTCTTTTTATTTCTCCCCTATAGATCTTCTGATTACTCTTTCTAACATTTAAAATGTCACAACGACCTCCACTTACTTTATTTATTTACACCTCACTCACTTTATTTAATACACTCCACCCATTTTCATTAAGGGCATTTTTGTAAAATTCCATCTTTTTTCAATTCTCCTTAAAAATCACAAAAAATCAAAATAAGATCTTAAAAAAATCAAAATAAGAAGATCTTAGAAAGACGGTGGAAGTATTATATACAGGAACCTAATGAAAATGCTACTTTGTATGAAAAAGTAAGTATACAAATACATCATTAATCACAAACCTGCATTTAATGTGTTCACATCCACTTCGTCTCTGCACAAACATCTTGCACTTGGGGCATTTTTGCCACTTTTTCTTTTCGGCCAGCTTGAAGAACTTGTTATCCAAATCTTGTTCATTTTTGTTCATGTTCTTCTTCCTTTGGAATTCTCGACAGGTCATCATCCCATGCCATGGAACCCTAAACTGTGCACAAAACAGCCGGTGACACGACGGGCACTCGGCACTGGTCACAACTTCCCCTCCGTCATCCACCAACAAAACCGAACAATCCTTAAAGGGGCAGTAAGTCTTCTGAGACTCAGCAATTATGGATTCACATCTTGCAGTTTCCCATCTATCGATAACTTCACGAGGCAAAATGGTCTGCAAATGTCTAGGCTTCAATTCCGAGGGACATTTTGGGGTCGGGCATGTGACCTTCACAATGTTTTGGCGTATCTTGGTGGCAACGTACGTGGTCATGCAGGTAGCACAGAAGACGTGATGACACACCTTGATTTCAAACCCATCAGACATTGGTTCTTCCTCAAAACAAATAGCGCATCGGAATTTGGAGGGTCGATGACTACCACTCTTCTTTATTATATTCTGACCCTCATCAGCATGATGATGATGTTGTTGGAAATACTCTCCCTTAGCAGCTGCAGAACACAGTTTTGAGCTTGAACCTACTAGGTTCATCAAAAAAATATCACCGGGTTCAGCTAAAACCAATGTTCTGAAAAACTAACCGGACACCGAACCAAAGAAGCAAGTGGGTCAAGGTTTCTTTGGTCGGAACCACATCAACGACCCGGTCAACGTTTTGATAAGCCATGTCTACTAGTAAATATGTTTTTATATACTTCCTCCGTCCCACAAAACATTTCATGTTTCAAAAAAGGCGGGCTTAAAAAAATGTAATTTTGGTGTTATTTTCTAAGTTTGCCCTTACTTTATAATAGGGTAGGATATGATATGTTGGATAGAAAATTAGAAGTTAGAAAGTAACAAACCAAAATTACACATTTTTAAAGCCCACCTTTTTTCAAACAGGAAATGTTTTGTGGGACCGAAGGAATACAATGTAATACTTCAAACATATATTTAGTTGATTGAAATGAGAAAAATTATAAACAAAAAATTGTAGAATATTAACTTAAAATTAGTAAATATTATTTGTACTTCATTTTTAAAGATGAAAATAAATTTCAAGGTGTGAATTATTAATTATTTATATATATTTTTAGGTAAATAATAATAATGCTCATTTCTTTTCTTGAACTATTTTGGAAGTTCATAAAATAAATATGTTACACAAACATAATTCTCTTTTCTAAATAATTGGAAGGTTTTTAAAATTTACAAAACCCAAATATTAGAAATCTAATATACTTAACACATTCTATGGCTCCTTAAACAACTAAAATAAAGTGGAATCAAAAGTCAGGGGTTCAACACTTGCACACCTCAAATTCCATTTTTTAAATAAAAATTATCGGAAGAGTGCTTTTGAACCAAACCCGTGGACCAGTCGGACCTACTCAGTTCACGCGGTTCGCCAGTTCTGTCGGGTTTGGATGATTTTATAAAAAACGAATTTAACCATCAAACTGGACCAGATTTGGGTTAGACCGGCACCGGCCGCTCCGGTCCAGTTTTAATAACATTGGCTATAGCCATAGATTGGAAGAGGGGGGAAAGAGAATAAAGCAAAAAAAAAGGTAAATTAGTTACAGATTGAAGCCACTTCTTGAGCATGCCGCTTGACACCAGAGGGTTGGCCATCTTCGTATTTGCGCTTTAGAGTGACAGACCTAGTTCTACCAAGCTGCATAGAGTAAATGATGTTGTTTAAATATGCTCGAAAATAACGGGGAAGAATAGTGCCATAGATGTAAAAAAAGCATTATCAGTATATGATATGCATGTGATAAATTAAAGCCATTGATATGAATTTAAAAATACAAGCTCCTTAAACACATGAATTTTGTTATTAAATATTTTTTCTTTATAAATGTGGTTATATTGCTAAGTTTTGAAATTTAATTTATTTTATCGCAATTATACTCCTGCCAAGAGATATTTGTTACAACTTACAACGACAACAACAATATCTCAGTGCCGAAAAGGCTGCCGGCAGTCCCGCCCATTGTGAGGTAAGGAGGTCGGATGTATGCAGCCTAACCCATTGTTACCAGATTACCCATCATGAGTGCTGGGAGTTGCATTGACTCATTACTACTTCACTATAAAAGAAGCGTAGAGCCATTTTGCTTTGTTACGTCATACCCTAAAGCCAACAAATAGTGAATCTTTAGCTCCATGGGAGTGAATATTTGCTAAGAGATTTTTTTTGAATATATAAAAAATGTTTTGAAGAGGTTGCACCTGATCATTGTGATGCCCTTCTCATTGTTATCTCGGGTTTGGAGAGGATAAGATGTAACCTCCACCAATGTGAGGTGGAGAGGCTGTTTGCCATAGTCCATAGACCCTAGGCTTGGGTTCGGTTTTTACCCAAAATCAAAGACAAAACGGAAGGTAAGGTAGTGGTTTGGTTGCATTTGGTTTCGCAGCAAAAATATGTAAACTATTAGTGATTTGGTTTGGTTTTGTGCAGTTTTTTTGTTTTTTTGCTTTTTTTTTTTGGTTTTTCAAAATAAAAATTTATATGTTTTAACAAAATTGCAACACTAAGGGCATGTTCTTTTTTGTTGGAATTCTAAAGTTAGATGTTGGAAGAAAATAGAAGGAGAAGTGGGATTTTTGTAGCTGATTGCCCTTGGAACCAAACTAGCATATGCAGTGCAGCAGATAGACTCCCATGAAATGATTTCACCTAGAATGAACAAAGTATGTGGGATGGCTATTGGTACGGGTAGAATACCAGGATCAAACACTTCTCAGAGGAGACAATTTTGTTGGATCTTCAAAGACTATACTGTAATCTTTCTTTATAGCTTCAAACTCTAAACTGGAATCATCCTTTCTTCTGTTTCCACAGCATTGTACCATGCTAGGCTTCATCTCCTTTTTTCCTGTGAAGAATTGTAAGAAGCAAAACTGGATGGGTTTGTTATATAATTTTGCAGCTAGTATCTCTTCTACAACCATCATTCTTCATTTCACCATTTCTTTCAATTTTGCATTTTCTCCTTTCACTTCAAACTTCATAATCATTTCTTTGAAGTTCCAACCAATTGGACCCAATGTCTCCAACCACTGTATATCATAGCTGCCCAATGAAGAAGAAGAACCCGAAACTGAGAGAGAATTTGAAAGAGAAGACAGCGAGAAGGGAGAGAGGAAATTGGTATTTTATTTCTTCCCAGTGGAGTAAGCAAAACAACTGTGACAATTTCTTTCGTTTGAATATTCCAAATTAATGGGTCACAAGCATTTTGCCAAGCTATTTTGTTTCCATCTGCCACTGTTAATGTTGTTTGTAAGGAGGGAGCAATGATATGGTACTTAGAAGTAGTTTGTTAGAAAGTTATTAAGGGGTTGTTAAGTGTGTGTGTGTGTGTGTGTGTATGCATGTCTAGAGATGTAATCTTCAATCAAGAAAATAATACAATCAAATCTCTTCCTAAATATCTCCCTCTTCTATTTTTCTCTCTCTCTCTCTAACCTTTTTCTCTCAGTTCTGGTTCTTCTCATTCGTTGAAGCACATCAGCTTCTTCGTTCCCTTCAGTAAGACAATCTTTTTGTAACATTGTATCTTCGTCATATGTAATAATTTTTTTAAGTCGTTGGAAGAAACTGGAAGAAGTTGGAAAAAGTTGGAAGTTAACTTTTCCAACCCAAAAAAGCAAACCCTAACTCGACGAAGCAATAACAAAATAATTTTCTTTTTTTTTTAACAAAGTAAATCAATTTTTTGTAAAAAAACAATTGGCTCAATGTTATAAGTCATAACTTGTTTAATGATGCATCAACAAAGTAACTATTAAACCGAACAACTAAACCTTATAAATGCAACAAAAAGTAACTTTTAAAAAATAAAATCAAATTTTAAAAATAGTAAGGACAATGACAAAGCAAACTCGATCTTCGAATTGAATATTTCAACAGATGAATTAATGAAATGCAATAATAAAACATTTATGTTTTTTTCATTATCTTGAAGTTTTCGAGTCAATTTGGTTATTCCCTTCCAACTCCCACTTCATTTGAATTTTCTAAAGAGAAAATCACTATCAAAACAATGTATGACCAAAATAAAGAGTAAGTAATACAGAGTATATTAATAAAAGATAGAGAAAAGAAATGCATTCTAAAACAATATTTTTCAAAAATTCTTTGAACACTTTGGTTTAAACGGTTCTGTTTGGTTTTCAAAGCCCAAAACCGAAACCGAAACCAAACAAAAACAGTTTGGTTTTTTGAATTTGGTTTCCATTTTTGGTTCAGATTATTTTTTGACATGAAGGGATAAAATTGAACAAATAAACTCATAAAGAAAAAAATGATAGCACATACTAGCAACAAAAAAAACTGTAATTCCCCAGAGTCGATGATTACCATCTCACCCTAATTCTGGACCGCCAAAAAGTTTATACATTCATACAAGTAAGAATTTAATTGACTATTGATGGATTACTACTAAGTAAGAAAATCGACAATTAACACACATCTTCATAAACAAAATTGAACCGTAACAAAACAGAACTAACAATTAACATTCAAAACCAACCGGCTGACTCGCTGTGAATGTAGCCATTCCGGCGGGAAGTGGCAGAGTTCCGGCCGTCTCCGTGGTGAAATTCTATCGTCTGAGTTCGCTTTTATTTAAGCTCTCGGGTCCGTACACATTTTAACCCTCATTTGCTAATTGCCCAAACATCTCCAACCCATACATCCTATCCAAAAAACCTAACCCTAAATAGTGGATTTTGATGATCCAATTCGAAGTTGATCTACACCAGATAAAAATGGGTCAAACCCGATTGCATTCAAATTCGACTTTACCCACCCGCTAGTGTAAATTTTTTCAAAATTATATACTTTACTATGAAATACTATCTCCGTTTTGACTTTTTTCATTCAACTATTTTGACCAATTTTGACTTTTTTCGATCAACTGTTTCCAACTTTTGACCAAGAATTAAATAAAATGTACACTACATATTAATTAGATAAAATAATATTTTGAAAATATTTGATATAATTAATCTAATAAAATTATTTTTGTATCAATATCAAATATCATTTTTATTTAATTGAGGTCAAAGTTTACCAATTTTGACTGAAAAAGTCAAAAGTGGACAAATACTCAGAGACGGAGAAAGCATAATGTTATAAAAATAAGGTTATAATTATATTTTTATCTTACTACTCGTTTTTAGTGTATGAATTTATATTTTCAGACAAAATTTTAATGATATTGTATAATTATTATTCTTTTTTCCTAAACTTATACATTTCTTTAATTCTTTATATTGATTTATAAATATAAAAAGTACTCCGTACTTCAAAATAAAATAATCTAATAAAACTAATACGGAGTACATATTTTTATATTTTTTAAATTTATTCAATGAAAAATGAAAGTCTGAATATGAATTTAAAAATTTAAAAAACCATATTCATAACTCGTTGGGTCAACTCGAACCCGATGACGCTGGTCATCCATACTTTATTTAAAAAGACATGAAGTTTTTCCCGCCCATGCGTTATTACATTAACAAAGGGCAATTGTTCACTTAAAATGGTAAGTTGCCAAAAATATAATAATAATGATTAAAAATCTATGCCTGTGGTTAATTTTCCATGCGTTATTACATTTACAAAAAATGGCAATTGTTCACTTAAAATGGTAATTTTTTTACATTAACAAATGCCAATTGTTCACTTAAAATAGTAAGTTGCCGAAAATATAATAATAATTATTAAAAACTTATGCATGTGCTTAATTTTTCCATGCATTATTACATTTACAAATGGCAGGTTAATTATTGTGCAGTTAAAATTAATATTAGTTTTTACACACAATGGCTTTACAAACGTGAAATTATTAATCTAAAAAATAATTATCATTATTAATCTAAAAAAATTAATTTCGTACGTTATTTTAACCTCTTTTTTTTGTACACTCCATACAATTCCTTTCACAAAAAAGAAACTGTATTATTATTAATCTAAGGTAAGTTATACAAATATACACCCAATTTCACAAAAAAAGATAATTGGAAATAATTAAAAAGGTAAGTCCCAATTTCCTTTTGAAAATGAACAGTTTTATCTCTAATTTTTTAAAATTACTTTTTAAAAACGTGATATTATTAATCTAAAAAATAATAATTATTATTATTAATCTAAAAAAATGGTTTAAAAGCTATAATAAATACACTTCCTTTTTTATGACACGATAATAACCAGTTTTAACACATAATAATTTTAAAAAAGGAATTTCGTGATGTTGTTTATATGGAGTGTGACTTAATTATAAATATAATTATTATATTTATAGTAATTAACGTATTAAAAATTAAAATCTAACATACATTATTAACGTAAGTTTTAAATAAAGGTAATTTCCTTTTTAAAAAATATAAAAAGGAATTTGGTGATGCTGTTTATATGGAGTGTGACTTAATTATAAATATAGTTATTATATTTATAGTAATTAACGTATTAAAAATTAAAATCTAACATCCATTATTAATGTAAGTTTTAAATTTTAAATAAAGGTAATAGCCTATTGCTTATTATACAATTCCAAAACGTAAGTTTTAAATAAAGGTAAGTTATACAATTGCAAAGCCTAAGATTTAGAAAATTGGAAATAATTAAAAAAAAGTAACTTATACAATTATACACTGAGTTACGTTTAATAAATAATTATGGTAAGAATAATTATTTTATTCTTACCAAATTATTTCTAAAGAGGTGAAGTCAATATTACGTTTTCCCGCCCAAAGAGTATAGCCATTACATATGGTAATTGTGAAGTTAAAATGGTAATTAATAAAATGATATTAAGCACGCTATTAATGAAATCTAATTAATTACCGTGTCAAATTAATTATAGTAATTTTAATTAAAATTGTATATTACGTGTGATTACCGTGTCAAATTAATTATAGTAATTAAAAGTTAATTATCGTGTCAAATTAATTTTAGTAATTTTGATTAAAATTGTATATTACGCTATTAATGAAATCTAATATTACGTGTGACTACATAATTGTATATTAATTACCATGTCAAATTAATTATAGTAATTTTATAATGGCTATATTTTAATTATAATGGCTATATTTTATAATGGCTATATTTTACTATATTTTAATTATAGTAATTTTAATCAAAAAGGTAATAATTAACCGAGGTAATAATTATATAACCGTGTGACTACATAATTATATACTCCGTATTAATTACTGTGTCATTTTAATTATAGTAATTTTAATTATAGTAATTTTAAATATAATAATTTAAATAATTTAAATATAGTAATAGTAATTGTTAAGTATTTAAAGAAGGTAAGAAATTAAAGTGTCCGAAATTATAGTAATATAAAATGGACTATAACTACTGTAAGAATTAAATCACTCTATTCTTAAAAGCAGGGGAATTTTTTTCCCGCCCAATGCACTATAATCCTGCACCGTTGATATCAATGTATGAAAAAGATCTGCAATTATGATTGGTTGTGTATTATTACCAATTTAGAAGAATATATTAAAGGAAATTTCTCACTAATTCATTTATACCAATTGAATGCATTGTAATCTGACCAAAAAGGAAGGAATTCAATGTTTTTACAACCGTGTGTTTTTTCTAGAAACATAAAGGGTGTTATTGATAATTTTTTATTTTTTTACAACCGTGTAAAAAAAAGGTAATTTATTCCTATGAAAATTAGCATTTTAAAAAAGGAAAACTTTAAAGGAGGATATAACGTATATATTTACAACCGTGTGTTTTTTTTGTAAACAGATTAACAAGGAAAAAAATTGAGAAATAAAAATTTACTTTATATTTTGATATCATTATTATTTTTTAAATATGTGATAAAAAAGGAAATTTATTCATACAAGAAAAGAGGTTATTTTAAAAATGGCAAACATAAAGAGATGGAACGTGATTATTTTAAAAAATATTTTATTCCTATGCAAATTACCATTTTAAAAGAACGAAAGATTTAAAAAAGGATATAATGTAAAGATTAAAAACTACGATTATTTTAGTACGTTAAAAAAGGTAAATTATTCCTACGCAAATTAGTATTTTAAAGAATGATATAACGTAAAGATTTAAAACCGTTTGTTTTTTTGTAAACAGATTAAAAGGGCAAAAAATTGTGAAAAAAATATAGAATTTTTATATTATTATTATGTTAATATGTGATAAAAAGGAAATTTATTCATATGAAAAAGGAGGTTATTTTTTTAGTACGTGATAACAAGAAAAACAATATTTATTCATACGCAAATTACTGTTTTAAAAAGAAAAATTTACTTAAATAGCACTAGAACATAATGACTTTTCCTAAAAATAAAGGAAA